CAAACCTTGATACGGGAAAAGCTAAACAAAAGAGCTAAATATATCCGATGGTGGGTTGGGGGTTAAACGGCGGAGGATGACACTCAGGCAACGGGTTCAATAGTGATATCGCTGTGACTGTTCCAATGAAGAGCTCTGTGGCAAAATTTACACCATAAAGTCTTAATAGCGACACATTTTATTGTGGAAGGGGACCACAGAGAACTATAATCCAACTCTGCAGCTCTACGTATGCTTTTAGTCTTTTATGTACATAGCAGTTTGAAGAAAAAAAGTGTCTCACTGCTCCCATCGACCCTGTTTCCAGGCTGTTTTTCTGATGCCATCTGTCAAGTGAGCGGCTAAACAGGTAAAAGAAAACTGAAAATCTGGCAGCTGCAGGGTCAGATATCTCCCTCAGGATTTTGGTGGACGCCAAACTACAACGACGAGAGTTAATATCGGACTTACATTCGTCAGGTGGACAACAAACACGCCTTCAAAATTTATGTTAATGCTGCTCTTGTGCAAATATGTAACTGTTTGCTAACATATTAGCCATAGCATTGAAAGTGAAATTGTCAAGGCTGTGTGTGTAAATCTGCTTGTTGTGCAGTTCTGCCCTCTAGTGGCACGAAAATAAAAAATCAATTAATGCAGCTTTAAAATGACACTTTTTTTTTTTATTTTTTATTTTGTGCAAGTGTCTTAACTCTGTCATTGTGGCCCCTTTACTGGTGCACAACTTGCACTTTGACCGCAGGAACCTCAGTTCCAGTTTTGGTTCCCAGGCCACAGTTTGTGCCTCCAAAAAGCCCCCTGCTCCTGCCCCTGAGGTAGTATGTGGTGTTAACAGTACTGTATGTCAGTGACTGGTCAAACACAAGCATACAAACTGCTACAGCACGTGCACAACTTTCATTCAGACTGCAAGCAAGCAAGCTAGAGTTGTTGCTAGCATGTTGGGGCTTAGCGTGGGATTTTTTTTTTTGGTGTTTTTTTTTCGGGGGGGAAGATAAATGTTGTTGATGTTTAAAGAAAGTTACGCAGCCGAATTCCTGAGTCTAGTCTAAAAGTCTAAAAAGTTTAAAAAAGAGGTAAGAGAGCAGGATAACTGTAGAATTTAGATTCAACGTTGTTATACACACAAACAGTCATGAGATAGTTAATTACAAAAAAAAAAAAACAGATGATCAATGTTTTGTCATCTCATTGCATTAAAAAAAAAAAATCAAGCCTCAAACAAAGTTGTCACTTTTAATCCTTTTTTAGGTCTAATTTTCTAACGCAGTTTGCTAGTCTAATCTTTACGGTTCTTCAGATGCAATTGAAACGCAGCACAAATACACCAAAGGGACGTTTAGGTCCTTTTTTTTTTTTTCTTTAGTTCCTGAGTTTAGCTCCTGGGACTATTTGATGGATAAAGGCCATTGAACTAGTCTAAGTCAAAATTAAGACTGAGCCCTAATGTTACAGAGCAGTCATCTAACATCTGTTATGTTTGTGCAACTAGCTCCTGGTTGTAATAACTGACCAAATTTATTGAACGTTTCTTTTCACCGTTGTTTATCTCGTCACCGCCTGTGCCCCCCCCCCCCCCTCCCCCCCCCCCCCCCCGCCTCCCCGTCCCCCCGACATTCACTCATCATTTTAGGTCACAGGGTGTTAATAAAAGGCTCCTGCACACAACATGAACATGAATTCAACAGGACTGTGGACGTCAGGGGTGCATGGAAACGTAGCCAATACTACTTTTCCAAAATGGCTCTGTCTCAGCTGGCCCGCCGATACACGCCGACCGGACCGTCTCTGAGCGCGTGGTTGCCTGTCCCCCCACCCCCCACCCACCCCCCCCCCACCCCACCCCCCCACCCCAAACCCCCAACCCCCCTCATTCCATTATCTCTCTCCCTCTGATTGTCTGTGCATTTATATATTGAGTCTGTACAGTTTGCGAGGTGTGTGTGTGAGGTCCGGGTCATTCAAACACTGCAGCAAGTCTATTGCTTTGATAAAAAGGCATCACTTCACAGAAAAGAGAAAAAAAAAAACAAAACAAAAGAAAAGAAAAGAAAAGAAAAACACAAGCGGCTTTGAGGAGTAGTGTGAAGCTTGAAAAAGCGAGATATACAAAGCAAATGTTTGTCACATCGCAAACAACAATACCATAGAGAAGTTTTCTTTAGAACAACAACAAAAATGAACATATCAGCTAAAATAAAGGATAGAGCGCTACGTTTTCACAATCTCGCCAGCTCTCTCAGTGTACCTTGCTGATGATGAATCATACTGTTTTTTTGGGCCAGCCAATGTTCACCTTGGCCTCCGAGTCCCACTGGTCACAGTGGTGGGGTCTGACCTATATGTTGCTTAGGCACATGCATATACGTATATATATATATATATATGTGCATGTGTACATTATGTGTGAAGGTATACTGTATGTACTGTATATGTGCATGTTTGTGTGTTAGTGTATATGCATGCCATCCTAAGAGGGTGGTTGGCTGTTATACAAACAGAGATCATGTTCATTCCTGCACGTAGGTAAGACAGTTCAATCAGCCGTTTCCCCGACCCACCGTAGCACCATGACGTCACTGCTTTAACATGAAGTCTCCCGCTTGCAGGGAGTTGTAATAAAAATCAAAAAAAATAATAAAAAAAAAAACAAGAAGAACAATAACAGAAAAAACAAATCGGTTGAAATCATTGTATGTGTGACTAGTGAGGCAACATGGCTGAGATGAAACACTTAAAACTCGCACCGGTTCTACAGTCAGAGCCTCTAACGTGCACTGGAAACACGAGAGGCGCGCGCTAACTAGCACAACCAACCGAGTGTTGGTGTCGCTATGACAGCCCAGCAGGGATTCAGTAAGGAGGGCATCATTCACTTGGTTTTGGCACAGCATGTGGCATTGTTAAACACAAAAAAGAAGAAAAAGAAAACGAGTCGTATTGATTGTCTTTTCTTGACATCAGTGTCATTGTGTGCTTTTAGTTAGTCCTGAACAGTTTTCTGGCAAACGATGAACAGGCTTCAATCTTTAATGCTACCTGCTGCATTCCTGTCAATGTCGGAAGTCTGAATCGACAGCACGTCCGCGGTTCGCTCCGTAAAAGATATAAAGGCAATAATCACAGATACATGCGAGAGTTTCTCCACACAAACGCCGCTACGATAGAGACAGAGCAAAATCCCTATAGCGCAACACTTCCGCTACTCCACGTGCCGGCTCATACATGGTTAATGTACTGCTTATTTTCTTGATTGATCATGCGGTTCACAAAGTGTCAGAAAAGTGCCCACAATCCCCAAGACGATGTCACCAAATTTCTCATTTCGGACAAACAATAATTCATCACTTAAGACAAAGAAACTGGGAGCAGTTTCACAAAGACAGACTCTGACTGTGGCTTAGATATGACAAACTGTCGTACATTGAATTCTGGGTAAATTAAGACTTTCTTCAGAATAAAATGAGGAACCGCATCTAACTGCTCAGCTCTGTTTATCTCCAGAAGAAAATGTTTGTCTTTTGGAAGAAATCAACAGTTAAAAGGACGTTTTACGTTTGGAAACTTAGCAAAGTGTTTTTAACAATAAGAATAAAATTCTGATTTGGGGAAAAAGCCCTTCACTTTGCTCTCTCCATAACAACGTTAGCAAACCACAAATTAAGTCTGTTTTTTTGTTGTTTGGTGCTACTGGTTCAGCGCAGGTGTCGTCGATATTTTCTATAATATTTAATACAGAATTCTAATATTTTTAGCGTAAAATTAGTCAGTATTAATTTTTGTGAAACAGTCTGACATCAGATTGATCTACGAGCAACAGTGAGACCGGAGCGAGACACGTATCTGTGTGAAACGAGTTTACGTAAGACCATGAACGCCTCCTAGAACAGGATTTATGCCTTTTGCCTCAGCGTAGTTAATATGCACGAGGCAGCTCTTTGAGAATGAGTTGTGTGTGTTACGCTCATCGGGTTTTATGTGAACCCCGTCATTTCAGAACTTGCAGACATGCTGAGGAAATAAGTCGTGATTAAATTACTAGGTTTGTGAATGGAGTTCAGTTTCGACACTTTCTACATATGAGAACAAACAGTGAGTTAAAGGCAAAGCAATCTGGCTTTTCTTGCATATTTCTGACTCTCGGTGTCACAAACATTCTTTACATTCATTGTTCTGCGGACGCTTTTTGTCCAAAACAAACTTTACAGCTCAAGCGTTTTCAAAATAAATCTCTTGAAATCCAACCTCGGTTTTTCAAAATAAATCTTAAGTTGCTGTTCTGTTGTTTTTTCCGACATCTCTGGAATGCAGCGCGACGACGTTAACGTTGTGATGAGACTTAACAAAGGCCTGCGAGCTGCTGTCCATTAAAGTGAGCTCTGCTATTAATGGGTCAGGTCACAGTGTGATGACGGCGAGGCACCGAGCAGTTCAGACACTCACCAGATGGATGAGACTATATGACAGTTAATATATTAACCAACCAACGGGTCCAATACAGTCGAGCAGGTGGGGTGAAAGGCTGACGTTAATAATGTCTTATTTTGTGAGTCAGATGAGCAGCCGTTTGGAAATTTTCAACATAAAGGAAGGAAATGGTGCATGGTTTCTAATCAATAAACAAGTGCTGATAAAAATCACCATTATGCCAACTGTACAATCATTAACACATATCCGAGGTGATAGGTTATATCCACAACAATAACACAAAAAAAAAAAAAAAAAAAAAAAAAAAAAAAAAAAAATGTACCCGCACTGTAAAGGAATGGTTCCATCCAAAACTAGACCAGAGAGCTACTCCTAACGTATGGAATGAAGTGACACTCAGTAGTGCTAATAGAAAGTTCGTTGTGACGGGCCTTCTGCTAGTTCCACCCCTGAGACCACCAGGGTGCCCAGGCGCTGACGGATGCAAACACACACACACACACACACACACATACATACATGGACGCACACACACACACACACACACACACACACACACACACACACACACACACACACACACACACACAGTCACTCATACACTAAAAATCCATTGGTCAGTCCTCGAAGACCTCCAGGAAGAGAGGAGGGAATAGCTCAGTGGGACACTCCACTTTCATGTGAAGGAATCGGCTGGCGTGGCAGGCGCCGATCATCCGCAAGTCCGTCACCTTCATTAGCAGCTTGGGCCAGAAATGTGCCACTTTGTGTTTGCGGTAGTTGATGTAATGTTCAAAGGCCAGCAGGAACTCCTCTTGGCAGCGTTCGATTCGCTCCACGCTGCTCAGGCCGGGCCGATCTGATGGGAGAGGAAAAAAGACGACGACAGCGGGATCAGTCAGAGTCCCGGATTTAAGGCCGAACTTTCTACAACCTGATGAGTCATTCCTGATTCTACGTTCCCAAAGATTTAGTTTATTACAATCAGGATTTTATTTTCATGGTCATGGGACAGGTTGTTAAAAACTTATGAGACTTTAGTGAGATGGCGTCCAGGGGTCCTGGAGGGGAGTTCCCAGCAAAAAGGGAAATAATTCCCTATAACTCCATCCATACGTGGCACAATGACAGAATGTATGACTGTTTCGGTCATCGGGTTTCAAACGGTTTCTGTAATAAAAACTTCTAAAAGCACAAAATCTGTGGTTTAATATGCGTCAGCGGAGGGTCCTTGATGTGAAAAAGGATTGAGAACCGCTGATCTAAAGTTCTTTATTTGGATCTAAAAACCACGAGTGAGAACGTGGAAAATCTAACTAGTGGTGTAAACTGTGATTGTGCACAAATAGGGAAAGTAAAACCCTTCAACCTGTTTGATCGTCTGACTGCTGTTTGGTTATTGCCAAACAAAAACAACTAAATAAATCTCAAGTTGTAATTAACCATAATTTTCTTTGAAGTCATAAGAATTAGAACTATTCCAAATTTTGTTCAGGACCCTCTGGAAACACACACAAGGACCCCGAATAGTAACCTGCACCTCACCTTGAGACCCACTACTGAGTCATACAACAGCAGAGTAAATCTCAGTGTTATCTTTAACTTTCAGAACTTGCACATTAGCTGAAATCTATTAATCTTCTCTGTGAATCATAAAAATGGCACTTTAAGAGACGCGTGGTCTGCTTTACATTGTGCAGCATTGTTGTTAGCATTTAGCTTTTCTGGTATAAATACCACTTTTAAATTTTTTTTGTGTCTTTTTTAACTTATCCCAACTGTTAAAATTTAAAAATAGTGATTCAGTATCAACTTCCTGTGCAAGAATACTGGTTTTAGACTTTAAACCTTGGCAGTGGTATTGATTAGTGGCTACTGTAAGTGTGTCAGAAGACAAAACAGATGAGCAGGTTAACCCCGTGTCACGTCTACATGGACAGCACACAGCAGAACATTATTGATCTCCGATGAGATGCGGAGTGTCACAGAGAAATGGCGGCGGGCGGAGTCAAAAAACCACACAAGCTGGACAAAGCTGCAAACGATTATGGTGATTAATTGGTTTTAACTGTAGTTCTGTATGGATTTCATGTCAAAAACAAGTATTCTCATAATCTGTGCAGGGGACGACGGAGCAGTACTAAAGGAAAAACATGTGACCTTCCAGGTTTATGGATGGATCCTGATTATTTTGTTCCAGTTTATTTTGGTGTGTACTGAGCGTCCAGACGCCAGGCGCTTACCGGATGACAGCAGGATGACGGCCTGTAGTAGAGCTACCTCGGAGTCATCCAAGTTAAAGGAGGACAGCGACACGCCGAGGTCGAAGATGGCGTCCGAGACGACGCCCAGGCCTCCGTTCTTAAGCTGACCCCGTGTGACCGCCATCTCGCCGTTCAGCGTGAGAGTCTCGCTCTCCGGATCGTAGCGAACGGCAGCGCGCAGTGACATGATCTCCATGCAGCAGCCTTTCAACAGGATGATCTGGTCTTCACAAGGCAACTGATCAGAGAGAGACACAGAGGAGCGTTGTTAGGAGAAGCATGTGGCTAACCTAGCGATAGCATGTACGGACTTATTTCCTTTGTTTTGTTTTGTCGATTTAAAACTGAGAAATTCGAACTTAAATACTGTTTAAACTGTGGAAAGTTACAAAAACAAAAGCTCTGAACATTAAAACAACCACTGAGTTACAATTCAAGAAGCTGCTTCGTTAGCCTGAGCTAACTGTTAACTAGCTAACTAGTCGGACAGCTAATTGAACAATGCCATTAGCATTAACAATATGCTAGCTTTTGTACAAATGCTTTATTATTACAGCACCAACAGTTACCTGGAAATGACTTATTATTCATTTATTATTAGTAATTTGTGAAATAACATTTCTAGCACATTCAATGAACAGTTAACGGTTAATTCTGTAGAAACCCGTCCAATATTAGAGGCTGAGATGCTGAATAACATTTACACAACTTGTAAACATTTTATCGAAGTGGATTGGGTTTATTATTTTTATTGTTTTATTTGATGTTCTACTTGTGCTGTGTTCTTCAGGTTATACAAGTATTTAGCATTTTTTAATTTGACTGTTTAGAAAAGTTCTATAAAATTAATAAAAAAGCAAAAAAATAAATGAAAAGTTATTATTAAATAATTTATTTGATTTTTTTAAAATTATTTTTCAATATTATAATTGAGATCTGAGATTAAAGAAAAAACAACATAATTTTTATTTTCATAAACACGAACGTTACAATATTTTTAACAGGATATTTTAAAACACATCTTCGGGGTATTTTGTATCTGTGATAATCTAATATTGGCTGAATGTATTACCACAGCACATATGAAGAAACTCAAACAGGTGTCACCAGCCACTGCAGCCACCAGAGGGAGCCTCATCAACTCTCTACTCTCTGTCTGTGTTTTATGAAGCTTTGATGAATGAGCAGCTGCACTTACCTCACAAAACATAGGCAGTTTTTTGGCAAAGTCCACCACTCGGGTTATGGCAGGGGGGATAATTTTTGTAAACTGACTGAAGGCTTCTATATCCACTTTGCTTCCCTCCGGTGCATTGGCCATGGACGCTTGACCAATATCCTCAGGCTGAAACGACAAAGAGGGAAGGTCGGTGTCTCAACTGTCTCCACGTTTAGGATTAAGAAAAATGAATTATGTGTTGAAGCGAACACTGCATATGAAACAAGGTGAACGTGGGATACAGAACAGCTGAGTGTGGTGGTTTCAACCGGGTAATGTGATGTAAAGATGCAAATGGGGACGTATCAGCAAAGGTTGCAGCTGTCATGTTTCTATTTCATTTAGTTAAACGTATGTATGACCATTTGATGGGCAGAACATTTAAACATTTAAACATTTAAACATGTAGTTTTCTTACCTTAGTTTCCTTCACCCCCGCTGCACTCTGGTCAGAAGTATAGAATAAATTACATGTTATTTCATTAAGAAGCATAGCTTCCTCGACCTGTTGGATAATCAACAGGAATTGTGAAGTTTCAATGAAGAACCCGTGTCAAGCCAACTAAAAAGAAAACAAGTTAAAACTGAGGACAGATGAAAGTGTGCAGGTAGAGAACAGGTGAGGACAGAAGTTGGGTTTCTATGGTGAGAGTCAGGCTGAGGACCAGACAGTCAAACAGGTCCCCAGAAACACTCCAACACTATTTTACATCATTTAAACAAAGTTCTGTGGCCGCGACGGGAGACGTAGACGACTTCAATCGACCGAAACTTCAATCAAGATTTTAACAATTCTTTCTAAGCGATGAACGCAGATTCACAGAACAGGAACACCTTGTAACGCGAGTGTGAAAGCAGTGAAATAGATGCTGCTGTTTGTGTAAAGCTAAAAGTGAAATAAAGTAAAACATTTCTCCACGTTCTCAAACTTTCTCGGAAAAATGAAACAAATTTAATCTCCCCAGTCGAATCAAAGTTTAATATAACTAAAAATATTCCCCTCTTAACCTTAATCTGCTTCACGGGTTTAAAATATATATAAATTAGACAAAAGCTTGTGATTCCACCAGAAGCAGCTCTCTGCTCGGCTCCACCGACGGTCCATTCACACGCTCTGCGTCAGATACAAAGACTCGAACAGCATCCTCCTCCTTTTCTCGTTAAGCTCTTTTTGCCTTCCTCTTGTTCTCTTCTTCTACTTCCTGTTTTTTTTTTATTGTGGTTGACAAACACCGTTCTGATGCATTACTGTCCATCCTGTCAATTTTCAAAATAAAACACCCTGTGCAGACTCCTGATCATATATATCATATCACTACAACGTCACAACCATAGTAAATGAAGTACATGTTACTGAGTGAGCTGCTCCACCGTCGCCATCTTGGCAGTGTCTGACTCTGCCCACTAACTCCCAGCTAATCCAAATAAGGTCAAAGAGGAGGGGCGTGTGTGGAGCTGAGACTTCCACCTGTCACTCAAAAGAGGCCACGCCCTCAATCCTCCATAACTGTAGTCCTTAATAAAATGTAAACAGGTGAGTTATATAAACAGGTGTCATGAAGGAGGAAATCAGCTGTAGAGACCAAAACAGTTTCTGTACCAGGCTGTAAACATGTTTATTTCTGCTGTAAAGTTGGACATTTTAACATGGGAGTCTATGGGGACTGACTCACTGTTGGAGCCAGACTCTAGTGGTCGTTAGAGGAACTGCAGCTTCTGGTTCTTGGTGCGACAAAGGGGTGAAAAAAATAAATAAATAAATAAATAAATCCAAATCATTGAGTCGCCAAACTCGTGCAGACAAAACGGAGGACGGAGCAGAACCGTGTCACAGACCTGCGCCCGGTGGAATCCAGGGAGCGTTTCCTCTGATCGCGCCATAGAAACCCAAAATAAAGTCAACAGCTGACAGACTTTCAATCTGGACAGAGCGATTAAATTTTACAGCAAAGAAAACAAAATTAGTCAAAGGGGTTGAAGTGTGAAATCAAAGGCTACAAACAGAAAGAAAGAAAAATGAAAGAGCATGGAAAAAAATAAAAGAAAAAAAAAGCCAGTCATTAGTATTAGCGATTAAGGATCATTGCATGGTGAGACATAAAAAAAATAAAAAAAAGACAAGAATAAGATGTTCCATTATAAATTAGTGCAGCTGCGTTGAGGAACACACTTTTCTCCTTCGTCCAGCTAATTCTCTCCATTCTACAAGGAGATACAAAAAACACATGGACATATTAACACAGGGAACAGTGGCAGAGTGGTTGTGGTGGAGGTGGAGGAGACAGGGGCATGACTTGGAAAGGGAGGGGTGGGAGGAGGCGGGAGGGACGATGGGAGCGGGCGGGTGTGGGGAAGGTAGGGGGGGGAGGTGGATTGGATGAGGCAGGGTAATCAATACAATGAAGGCTGTGGTCAGGAAGGAGGGAGGGAGGGAGGGAGGGAGGGAGGATGTCTCACCAGGAATTTCCGTTTCTGCTTCCAGTGGTTGCCCTGGGCATTCGTGGCCATATGGGCCTCAGTCACCATACGGATGAGGTCCCACTCCTCCTGGGTGGGCTCCAGTCGGTCCCACACCGTCCTCTGCAGTTCCTCCCTCCGACGGCGCTCCCGGTTCTCCTCGATTAGCTTCCGCTTGGCCAGCCTCTTGCTGTCGTCCAGCACCACTGGGGTGGAAGGAGGGGAGGCAGAGGGGGGAAAAAAAGAAAAAGGGAGACAATGAGGGTGGACAGGAATGAGGAGGAGGAGGAGGAGGAGGAGGAGGAGGAGGAGGAGGAGGGAAACGCATGACATGACAAACTGGTGATATACTTGACAATACTGAAAATACAGGGCACTGCTGCTGAAGTTTTCAGGCCTAAAAATAAAAAGGCAGAAATTAACTTTTCAAACAGAAGAAAATCACAGACGACTCTTTAGTCATGAAGCACGACAGCGTCAGATCACTGTTAGGTCGTGGGCGTTATAATCGGTGAGCGATACAACACGCACAACATGTTGTTGCTCGGTGACTTTGAAGTCGATTTCGACGACGACAAGAGGTTTTAGATTCAGGCCAAACACATTCGTCACCTCAAGTGAGTCTCCACCCGGAGTAAGTCTACACTTGGAGAGGCAAACACTCTTGAAATGGAGTAGTGCTGCACAATTAATCGAGATATAATCGAAATCGCGATACGCCCAAGTGCAACGTCCAAATCGCAGGATTGTTGTGCACTGTCAGCTCCATCAGTGTCGTGGTGAGACGCCACCAGCCTACAAATCACATTCTCCATCATTCATTTTGCATATCGTATCATTTTTAACTTTAGTGTAAGGTGGTTTGTGCCTGATGACTTTCCACTCAAATAAAAAGAAAATATCAAACGGCGGCTGCACAAAGAACAAACATGACGAAGAAGCGGATAGAAACAAACTAATACGTCTCCAGTGTCACTTCACTGAGGCGATCTTCCCCCCATAAAAAGAACAAAAACAAACTTACAGTCGGTCGCCATTCCCACCGCAATGCACTTCTTGAAGCGACATTCCTGACACTGGTTTCTGGTCACTTTGTCGATGACACATTTCCCCTCGTACTTGCAGGCGTAGGTCGGGTTTAGATTCTTCTGGATCGTCCGCCTGAAGAAACCCTGGAGAGCAGACGGTCAAATTGCTCAGAGCTGTTTTCAAACGATGATGACGATGATGATGATGATGATGATGATGATGATGATGATATTCATTCGCTTGTGTTACCTTGCAACCCTCACAGGTGATGCAGCGATAGTGATAGCCGGTGGCTTTGTCCCCACACACAACGCAGAGCTCATCCTTGTCTAGGTAACTCGGTATGTACCCTGCAGAGGAGAACACAGGGTTAATATTAGACTTCGTTGATTTACATATATGTATATATAGAAATATATAGCTTTGCTTTCATTCATTGGGACGTCTCACACTCACACTCCTCAAATTTTTAACCATATTTTTCATTAATGTTGATTTAATTATTATTAACTGGTTAATTAAAAGTTCATTTTAATTATAAATAACATTTGTTAATTATTTGTTGTAATTTTAGATTTTAGCTCAAATGTATTTGTTTTTTTGGGGTTATTTAGTGTTAATATTTAACATGTCGGTGCGGACTGGTGAGTAAATGGAAAGTCACGTAGGTAAACTGACTGTGCGTCCGGTAGCACCGACCTCTCACAGATCACGCCGTTGCCTCGCTGCGTTAACACCTGGCCCATTTTCTGAGATTCGGCTTAATGAGATCATCGCTTTGACCTCAGAGACCAGAGGTTAAGGAACCGATCAATACTTTTTTGGGAGAGGGGGTTTGTGAAGAAAGCAATAATTGCCTTCTGTTGCCTCAACGTCAATCAATAAAGAGCCCCCACACCCGCCTCACAAACTCTGACCATCAGATGTGCCAAGTCACGCTCACAGACTCGCCACCACATGACGCCTTAAGGCTTGGATTTACGCTTATCAGACTTAATTTGAAAAACCCAGACATCATTGATTAAGGAGGACTCATCACTAATTACCAAAACTATTTTTTTTAAATCACAAAGAAATATGGAAGACACGATCATCCAGGGAGAGGAAACAGTCTCAAACGCTTTTAAAGCCAAACTGAAAAACCCTCTTTCACCATGACGATGGAAACAACCACGATCCGGACGATCTACCTTTCCTGTGCGCCCCCTGCATCCACTGCAGGTGTGAGAAGTCGGGTTTGATCTCGGGGAAATACTCGGGCTGATGGTGGCAGTGACTGAGCGGGATCTCCATGCTGCAAAACTCGCTCTTATAAACAGGAGGGCCCCCGCCGGCGTACGAGCACGAGTAGTGCTGGCCGGGCAGCCACGCCTGCTCCACGCAGGGCGGGTGGTGGTGCAGGGGCTGGGGCTCACAGTGGCCGTACCCGGGCCCCTCACCCGGGTACATGCAGTGCTCCCCGCCGCCCTGCATGGCGTAGCCTCCCACTCCGACGTGAGGCATCTCATACATGTCTGGTATGCAGTAGTTCATCATGGAGAGACGCAGAAGAGCACCCGGAAAAGTTCTGGGTAAACTCTCTCTCAAAAAAAAAAAAAAATCAAAAATCAGAAATAAAATGAAATAAAATAAAATAACCGGTCCTAAAAAAAATCAGTTCCGAGACACAGCATCGAGCCACGTGAACGGACAGTCAGAGGTTTCCAGGTTAGAAAAATAAACTTCACACAGGTCGAGCCGACACAGACCATCCAACATTTTACCCACAGACCACGGACGACAACCTCTCAACTACCCCGCCCGCCTCCGCCCGGCTGAATTGAGAAGCAGAGATTTATGACGATGCAGAGCTCTAATCTTATACTCCCCAAATCCTTGATGTGCCACAGACAGCGGTGATGTCACAGATTAAGACCTCGCGTGTTTGCACACTACGGTAAATACCATCGAGGAACATCCACCGAGCGGAAAAAAATAATTCTCAAGGAGGAAAAGAGAAATAAAAAAAAAAAAACTTCCGATAAAGAGTGAAGAGTTGAAAAATCACTTTAAAGGGGTTTTTCTCCGACTTCTGAAAATCGGTAGTTCTCTTGACACAGATGCCTCTCCAACCCTTTAACCTCTGTGCATTAACTCCTTTGCTTATCCTGTGGGTATTTTAAACAGAATCCGTGAACAAGCCCACTTAGCTCACTGCCATACAATTATTCCCATTAGCGAATATATCCTATTTAGCAAACCCTACGACACTAAGGAGATTTTACAAAGAGGTCCGAGGTAACACACTTTTACCAGTAAGACGGTAATATGTATTTAACCTCTACTGTAAGACTGATAAACAGAGAAAGACAGAGCTTTAACAGAATTTAAATATATGAATAAACGACAAGAAAAATCACCAAAGTAAAAGATAACTTCCTTAAATTACTGGATAAATCAAATTAAGAAAATAAAGTGTATCTTTAATGATCTGTATTGTTTGTTTGATGCATATAACATGTACATACATCCAAATAGATTAAAATAAGAAAAATAACAAAAAACACATTTCCCCCATTAATTATATTCTGTATTATTTATACTAAATTCTTTCAAAATAAAAGTTTTTTTTTTTTTTTTTTACATAGTTTGGTGATGACACTCTTCAGCCTGAAACAAGAACGGCCGTTATTCGCAAAATCAATATTGGTTCCACAAAATGTTAAAGGCACGCCACGCGACACATTGCGTGATCTGTTTCAGATAATACACCGGCCGTACTCAGCCATATTGATTAGGCCTCCTGTTCTATAAAGATGGGATAAGCCTTATGGCGAGGATGTGTATCTGTTGGGATTCATTATGCCTTCTTCAATAATATAACAGCGTCACACTTCACCGGAAGTGGTTCTTAGAGATGATGTTTAACGTGAACACAAACACACACAAACACACACAAACGGACATGAAACTTATCAAAGTAAATAAATAGACAAATAAATAAGGAACTCCTGATTGTTCGGTCGTTAATTTACTGGTAATTGATGATACCGAAGAAACCAATTAGTGTTGGACGAACAGCAAACTAATTTTTCTAGTTTGTTAAATGTGACAGATTTTTATTAATCTATGTGATTACTTTCACTTTTCATTCAAACAACTACTTTCTCCGATATTTTGAATATATATTGTTCTGTAAAGTTTAAAGCCAAATCATAATAAATGCAATATTAATAGAATTTTGCATAACTGTTAAAAAAAATAATATGGAAATTAGCTCTATCTAGCATAACACATTTGCAAAAAGACTAATTCAAAGCCGGACCATCATGGTTGTGAATTACTAGTTAAACTGGATTGAAACTATATAAAAAAAAAAGTAATAAAAGACATCGACAGTTAAGAATTAAGAAAGTGTTTCTCAATCTTTTCCATTTTAGTTCCCACCATTCTCACGAGCGCAGTAATTAACTGGGGCTCATTAAGTTGTCATGAATCTGAGTGAGGCATAATTTACTTTTCTATTTCGAGGCACACGGAGAGAGAGAGAGAGAGAGAGAGCTCCGAAGTGATTACAGAAGAGCGAGGAAATAATGTTTAACTGCACTTGAAACATAATTAATTTTGCCCTTTTCACTATCACTAGTACAAATTCATCTCTGTGCTCCTCGTCCGCTCATCAAGAAACACCAGGAAGTCTGAGTGAGACGAGCAACAGACCAGTCTTAATGGAAAATAATGAAAAAAGAAAAAAGATTTGTTTCCAGAATATTAACTTATCATTAACTTTTTTTAACTTTTTTTTTCTTATGTCTGTGTCTGTTCCGTTCTCATTTCCAGACAGTTTGGTCTCTTATCAGCTGCCTCTGATCTTCTTACCAAGCGCCCAGACTGGCTAAACACTAGAACAAAGAACATCTTGTTGGTTAATGGATCATAGAGGTGGGTCACAAACATGGGAGACATGCGAATGCGTGAACACATGGCGAAGTCTGAGTAAAGATGCGTGCAGTTTTGGCTTTAAAATCCCTGCTGCTTGCACTGATCTCTGAACCACAGCCGGTCTGCACGCTTCTGCACACTGGCTGCACACGATCAATACTCCCAGAGCGCGGGATTATCAGGAAATATACAGATAATTAGGGTTCCTGCGCACTTTTCAAAAGTTTTCCAAAAGTTGAAGGTCTTGATTGTATTTCACAGTTTTGTTTTTGTTTAATAAGATTTATAAATACAGCTCTGCTATATCACTCCGTACGGTTTGGAAATTATTGAAAAATAAAAGTTTTAGCGTTTAGCAACTCACATTTTAATTAATGTTGCACGTCACTTTGTTTTCCCTTAAAACCCGAAAAAGTGTTCGACTTGATTTGAATGTCACAAAATCTTTCCGCATGTTAAGTAACATGTTTCAAATGTCATTTATTACAGTGTCATTTACTTTTAATTTCCTCGTGATTTGCAGAAGATTTGAATCAGAGTGATTTTGACTTTTGAAATATATTTTATATTTCATTTCTAATCCTCATCCTCAGAAGCTTTGTGGTATTTTACGCTTTCAACCTGTGTCTGTTTTTTACTTTGCTTTTATTTGATGTATTTTGATTTGAATTCTTTCAATAGATTTTTATTCATTTGATGGTGAAGAACTTTGTGACACGTTTCCGCGAGAAGTGCGACTCGTATAAACTTTGCTTGCTGACATTGATGAACATTAGTTTGATTAATGAAATGTTATGAATACTCTCTGTAGGTTTTAATCAATCAATTATAGTCTATGAACTTAATACTAAATAAAAATGACTCAGTCTATTTCCTCTAATTCTAGATTCAGAATAAAGATAACAGTTTTTCCTGTGGTGTATTTGAACATGTCCCGTAGAAGAGTTAGACTGACTCCTCCACCAGTTTGAGAAATATAAACAACGGTGGAAAAGTAAAATGACTATATTGACTTTACTGAGGATATTCTCCTCTGCTCTGTCCCTATATCAGGATTCCCTCCTACTGTAAACAGTGCGTCGATGATAATCCTGTAATACAGGTGGCAATCCGGAGACGAAGAGCCTGATGAAAGGATTACGTCTCCGGATATAATATAACACTTAGAGCGACTTAAACATGTCAACCGACCTGAAGTGTTGGGTGACATTTCTGACTGTGGAGCATCTGTTTATTTTTTCCAAATCTCATTAGTCGCGGAGAACAAGACGATGTGCGAGACAGCGATGCGTTCATGTTCGGAGAAGCGAACACATAAAACAGACTGAGATGAAGCCTGACAGTTGTGTTCAAGGACACACTGCGGTGTAGTCATAGTCTCTGGTTCTCCGCGTCAATAAATGATTTCTTTAAGTCTTACATCGGCAAT